TTTCACCACTCAGGTTGGCATGTGAGGGTCTCAGCACTGCCCCCCCACAACTGGGGAAGATGGTCCCTCACTTTGGTCCCTTTCATGGGGTTAGAAGGAAGGGAGAGAAGCTAGCAAGGGCCACGTGACCTCGAAAAGGCACTCAATCTCTCTTTTCCTCATGCCTATGAGAATGTTAACAGAGACCTTACTACATGAGCTATGTGGTTTAAATCAGAGAATTTAAAATTCTAATGTGATAATGTGAGAACCACCTTATCACATGAGCACATGGCAAGCACCCAACAATGCAGATGCATCATTAATTTTGTATCACAAAGAAAGATGGTCCACTCTGCCCCGCCTCTTTCCTGGGGTCCCGGGTATCACCTCCTACTTCCCCATCCCCCAGGGTTGCAGGGTGAAATCACAGTGACTCATGGTGTATCGTGTTCTGAGCCCAGTGGCTCACCCACCAGTTACCCCCACAGACACTACAGTCCCCATATCACACAGGACGGAATGTAGGCCCAGTGGCACATAGCTCCTGAGCAGGGGTGCAGGCAGGGCGGTGTGGCTCCAAAGACGGATCTCGTCTAACTCCACCATCCTGCCTTGCTTCCGGAAATCATTTCCTCACTGGGAGCCAGAGGCGCTGGTCAAAGCCCACACCTCTCCAACAACAGGAGCCACGGTTAGTGGACACGGGAGGGCGGAGCCGGACCGCCACTCACTCTTGCTCCAGGTGGGGCCACGCCCAGGTGGGGCCCCAGGAAAGGGAAGAAGGGAAACCCCTGGTGTGCCCAGCCTTTCCTGGCCATGGTCACCGTGGTCTCATCTGTATATCTCGTCCTGTTTGATGCCCCCTGCTTGATGCCATACTGGGAGGGAAGCATTGTCATTCCCATTTCATAGATGAGACAACAGAGGCTGGGGGTGGGGGGAGAATCTTTTTCCCAAGATCACACATATGGCAAAGAAAGGGTAGATGGAGCAGGACTTGCAGCCTAAAAAGGTTATTAAATTACTTAGAAAAAACCCACCAAAGTAAGCATTAGAGAGAGAGAAGCGAGAGAGCTAGCAGGGAGCTGCCTGCCACACCACACCTGCTGTGCTGGGACCACACTGAGAGGTCAGCAGCCAGCTCTGGGGCAGGGTGGGGGATCTGAACAACAGGCCTTGGGAGCCTCCAAAGAGCCGACTTCCTCGGGCTCCCCGAGGATGGCACATAGGGGCCACTTGTGGGTGTTCTGACTTTCTCCCTGTTAAAGAAAAAGAATGTAATCCACACCGTATCTCTGCTCGGTCCAAAACCTGCTTATTAAAAATCTACTTTGGGGAGCAGGAGGATAAGTGGCGGGATTCCCTGTGGAACGCTCTCCGTCACGCCTCATCGTGATGCCTGGAAAACAGAATTAGACCCCTGCTGCTAACGGTGCGTGCTGCGTCTCTGGGGCTGGAGAGGGGGATGGAAGAGGGTCTCCTTCGGGGTGCTGAGTGGTGCTGCCATCCAGCACTCTGCTCTGACCCTTTGATTAGATTTCAATATTCTCTGTCCCTGAACCTCCCCTGCTCTGCCCCACCTTCCTTCTCCCAGCCCTGGTGGGTGGGGCCAAGGTCCCTCAGCACCCTGGACAGAGGCATCCTGCATAAAGGACACGGTGTGGCTGTGAGTGCCCCGGGTGGGGGAGGGGGGCTGTGTGGCCTGGCATCTCCTGTGCCTGGACATCCTCATCTCCTCCAGGATGGGGTCTGTGCTCAGTCACCCCGCTCCCCTGCTCAAGGGAACGCGGGGACCCTGCTCCAGAGCGGCACTGCCCTTCAAAGCACACCGTCCCCGACAAGCACAGCCCGCTCTGGGGCTGCCGCTTGCAGCTGGGTGTGTGCAGCTCAGGACGTGGGAGAGGCCGGCAGGGGGAAGCCCTAGCTTGAAAGTCAGAGAACCTGGCTTTGCCAAGGACCAGCTGTATGCCCTGAAGTCCCTGAACAGCTCCAAGACGGCTTTCTCAGCTCTTGAATGACTGGGGAGGAGGAAGGCAAAATGGGAAAACATAAGTGGCAGTGCTTTGCCATCTGCAAGGAGCAGTCTGAATGTCAAAGAATGTCAGACTTCTAATGGAAAGAGCCCTGGGCAGGGAGGCAACAAATCTAGCACAGTGCTTGGCGCACAGTAGGTGCCTAACAAATGCCACAGCAACTTATTTCTCAAAGCCTAGTAAGAGTGGAGGCAGAAGAAACAGGGCACAGCCAAGAAGCAAGAGGGATGGCGGTTAGATACAAGAAAGAAGGTTCCTGTCAGGTTGGTGAGATACTGCAGGACCATCTCCGATTAGAGATAGTCATGGCTTGTCCTCCTCCTCTTGACACGCCCCTGTGTATGGGGGGTGGGCCAGCTTAGTCCTGCCTGAGTGGACTTGTGGCAGTCAGTTCCAGGGGACAGTCCCTGGTCCTGTCACGCCATTCAGTGGCGTGAGGATGCCACAGGAAGCCGGCTGCCTGGTAGAAAGTGGTGTTTCCCACCAAGTTCCACAAAATACGAGCCCCCTGTTGACCGCTGGCACCATTTGGGGGCCCCTCCTCAAACCTATTTGGAAGACAATCGGGTAAATATTTGTCCGGTCCATGCGAATGTGTACTGAGAGCGTCCACGGGGAAACAGAACAAAGGGCATGCAAACACGCCTCGTGCGTGGAGCTCTGTCCACACGCATCAGCGCCAGAGCAGCACCGTCCCGGAGAACTTTCTGCAGAGATGCAATGTGCTGCTCACCGGGGCGGCCTCCAGCCACCCGCGGCTACGGGGCACTTGAACTGCAGCTGGGGAGATGGAGGAACTGCACTGGAAGTGGTATTTCCTTTCCATGAATTCAGATTTCAACGTCAGCAGGGGCTTTGTGCCTGCTGCGTTGGTCAACAGAGCTCCAGGGAACCTGGTCTGAGAAGCAGCAGAGTCAGGGGAGAATCCAGGGGACTACGAGCTGGAGAACCCGGGTTCAGATCCCAGCTCTGCCGTTCACTGATCACAGGCCTCAGTTTCTCCCTCTGTAAAGGAGGGGGTCAGACCCTCGTGGAGCCCTGCCTGAGAACCCCAGTGCAGCATGGCCCTGAGAGGGCAGATGTGTCCATTTACCATTCTAACTGCATCGTGTGCACACAAGCCCTGCTGTTCCATCTTTGAGAACACAGCCTGCATGTTCCTCCCTCCCATCTCACACAGAGCCCGACACAGAGCCGAGCAGGCAGGAGATGCTCACCAAACACCTGCTGATTGGCTGTCAGGGACCAGTGCGCTCCTGCGAAGACCCACCCTCTGGTCCCTCTCTGGCCTTCCTGCTGAAGAAGGCTTGGAGCCAGCTTTCTCCAAGGCGGAGGGTCCCCAGCGAGTTAGATCTCATTTTAGTTCTCCAACACCCATGCCATTTCTCTGTACCCCAAACCAGTAGAACCCTGCGCCAAGGGCACACCCATGCTTAGAACTCACTTTGCTCTGAGGACAGTCGTCAGGGGACAGAGCTTCAAGAGCCCCGGGTGGATGCAGGACCAAGTCCATGCCCCTTCCCCTGCCGCTCAGGTGCACCCGCCCCCTCCCCAGCCCCTCTTCCCATCTTTAACCACTATCGAAGCCCAGCTCCAACAGACCCCTTGGTCGGCACGGCGTCAGGACTCCTGTTTCCCGCTCTCCTCCGCATCTGATAGGCCTCATCTCTATGTTCCTTAACTTAAATCTTTCTCATCCTCTGAGATCCACTCGCAGCCCTGCCCAGCTCTAGCAGCCCTGTGGTTTGGGGCTCCTGGCACACTGGACACACAGTACAAACTCTGTGCCTTCTCAAATTGGTGGCTGGGGACATTTCTTCTCTGTCCTCGCCACAGGGCTTTGGAAGGAGCTCTGGCCCTATAGTGAGAAGACCTGTGTTTGAGGTTGGGCATCATGGCTGGCATCGTGGGACCCTCGGCAAGTCACTGCACCTCCCCGAGTCTCACCTTCCTCAACTGTGAACTGGGGGATCACCATCCCCTCCCCCAAGCCCCCCGGGTGGTGGTAACAAGCACCTGAGGTACATACGAAGCAGCCTTGTGGAACGGAGACTCGGTTATTTTGCTGAACAGACGTGTGTGGGACATATGAGGGAGTGCACGGGTGGAGGCAGTTGGGTGCAAAGGCCGGGTGGAGCGGGGGGGTCTGACCATGACATGGGGTGGCTTTTGCTTTTGGATGCTGTGGGGACTCCGGGATGGAGGAAGGACTTCAGGACACAGGGTGGTTCTGCAGAGGAGCCCTGGTGGAAGGCAGGCTCTCAGGCCAAGGCCTGCACAGGGGAGCTGTGCAGGACACAGATGACTGGGGCGCAGGCACTCACCCTTGGTGCGCGCCCCTGGCCGGCCCCTGCCTGGCTGTATGTGGGTGCGCAGCTGCCACCGGGAGCACACAGATGCTGGAAGGTGCTGGCTGAAATTAGCTAAATCTCATAAACACTACATTTGTGTCACAAATTGTCTGGGAGCCAGAGAAGACACATTTCTAAAACCTGCATTTGCAAAAAATAAAAATAAAAATGGTTTATCAGGAATTGACCTTGGACCTTGTTCTATCAGCAAAACCTGCTCTTCGGGGGAAAGAAGCTCTTCAACTCATCAAGTACAAATGCATTCAATTTCATATTTTCCCTCTCTCTCTGTAGCTCCTTAACAATGAGGCTGAAAATGTGGGGATTGAGTTTGCAGATGCAAAACGGCTTGGCAGCTGGCCAGTCTCCCTGCAACCCAGCTCCTGTCTGTTCTACCCACGCCAGGGAGTCCTGGCAAAGGGCACTCCTAGATCTGTCTGTCTGTCTGTCTGTCTCTCTCTCTCTCTCTCTCTCTCACACACACACACACACACGCATCCAAGGATACATAGCAGTGGCCAAACCCGCTGGTTATCAGCCCTGTGATCTATGGAAGCCCCCCTTCCCGATGTGGCCCCAGCCATGGGCCCAGGGAGACACGAGGCCGAGGTGGAGCCAGCCTGGGGAGACTTACATTCTGCTTTGGCACAGATGAGGCAGGCGGTGGTGCAGTTGAAGAAGTTCAGGATCCCAGCGACAGCCACACTGATGTCGGTGTTGCTGGGGTGGAGGTTCAAGGTTGTGAATCTCTGGAGCTGGAACTTGACGAACTCTTCGGGGGCCACTTTGAAATGAGGGACCTGGCAGGAGGAGCAACGACGGGCAGCGAGAAGGATCCAGAACGAGCAAGAAAGAAAGAGCTGAGACTGAGCCCGGGCAGCAGGGGGCAGGTGTGTTCATGCCACCCCTGTGCCACACACCAGTGGGAGACAGAGCGTGTAGGGACCTCATACTCCAAGGGAGGAAGACACCATTGCATCCCGAACAACCGTGAGCCAGGAAGGACCAGGATGGGTCCCCTGGTCAGGATGACCCCTTGGTCAGGCCCTGTGACAATGTACTGTGGACTGGGGGCTGGAGATTGGGACACAGCAAGGTTAAGAGTAGGTCTTTATCCTCAGAGGGACTGATGGCTGCTAGGCAGAGACAACTGGCCCTGGTGGGCATAATCCCTAGGATAGTTTACGTGTGGTTAATGAATGAGAGCAGAGAGGGCAGAACAAGAGAAGAACAGTACCTTGGGGAATGAGAGGAGGCCCCTTAGCCCAGCCCACAGGTGCATAAAGCAGCTCCCAGCAGACTTCCTGGGTGAACGCCCAGGGGAGGAGGGGACAGGGGTGGGTGCCCTGCAGACATGCATCCAGGGGAGGAAGCACCCCAGACCCTGAAACAGTCTAGGGAGCCTCTGAAGGGAGCTGGGTGAATACAAATCCACTTCGCCATCACGAGGACAGTGTCAGCTTCCTTCTGTGTCTATTACTGGCATTTCCAGGAGGCACAGCCCTGCCTGCTGTCTCTCCTCTCCCAGGAAGAGCGATGAACAGGCTGCGATCCTGGCTGTACTGGCAGCATAAGCTACTAGGTAGGTAACAGGCGCGTTACAGCACAATAAGCTGCCATCCACTTGGATTTTATTCTGCTTGCTTCATCCCCTGGTATCCAGAGCTGGGAGAGGGGAAGCTGAGCATGGGTCTGCACTGCTGTTCAAGCAAGTGAGACTCAGGACAGACCGCAGAAAGAGCTTCCTGACGGGTGAGTCAGTTGGCTTCTAGAATGGATCGTTCAGAAATAGTTACAGAAGTTTCCTTTGCCTGGCCTGGCCCTGAGGTTCTGATGCCAGGAATCTGGGGAGATGCGGAGAATGTCTCAGTAGGATTCTGCTACCCACCTCGCCCTTTCTAAGTTTCTGGGAACAGACCGCCAGACAGCCGAGCTCCTCTGAGATTGGGGTGGGAAGAGGGCAGGGGCTTAGCAGAAACTCGGGAGGCAGTTCTTGAATTTTGATTGCATGAGTCCTACAATCACGGGGAGAGTGACCGGCATTTCCCAGCAGAGATGGAAAAGTGCAGAGCTGGAGAGAGCCTGGTGAGTTACGAAAGAGGACTCCAAAGAGTAAAGCAGACCCCATGTGTCTCATGTGGGATCACTTTTCCTGATTCTATTTTGCATCCCGCACAATCTGTCTAAAGTGAAGAACAAAAGCACCTTCAAAGGAAGAGGTTTCCAAGGAGCAAGATGAAGGCCAAGGCTTGGGAAGGGGGAGGTTCAGTGGGGGCCAGGATGGCCTGGCTGGTTGGATTAGACATTTCAGCATTTCTGACCAAGGTCCTGCCTGTATCACTGGTCCAGCCTACTGGACTTAATCAGCAGCTAATCCAATAGGACAGTGTGGGGCCCTTGGGGATACCCAGGTCCTAGATATGGATGGGGAAAATCCCATGAAGTTCAAAGTCAAATGGGTTTGGGGATCTGCAGAGCTGTGTTTGCATCCAGGCTCTGCTATGTGATTTACCGGCAAGAGGTTTAACTGTCTAAAGTTCACTCAAATGGAGACAACCACAGGTGCATTTTATAGCTATGGGGGTTGGGGGGGATACAGGAGAGCTCATGTGTGAAGGGCATGATAGCTTAGTGCCTAACACATAGTAAATGCTCAGGCAATGTGCTTTTTCCTTTTTCCCCAAATATTGGGAGCTCCCAGAAAGCTCTTAGAGCTGTCTGTGCAGGGGTGAGGGGTGAGGGCCTCCCAATAAGGGCAGTGGGTGGGGAGCCTCTGGCATGATCATCACCTTGAAGCCTGCTGGGAGCAGCCAACTGCTCTGCGGGGGCCTGCGCAGGGATGGCCCAGCCCCATTCTGCTGATTCTCTCTTCAGGACAAAACGAAGATCAATCCCTAATCGATCTGCAATTGCAAATGCATCCCAGGAAGTCATCTCAGAGGTGCGGGGAGGAGAAGGAGAGGTGAGCAGGACGAGGAGGGCAGTGAGGCAGAGAGCAGCAGCCACAAGGGCTGTGGAGATGTTCAGAGTTAAAGGGATGGACTCCTTGTGAGAACTCCATTGCTTTTCCCTGGAGCTGGGGGTAATCAGTGGAAGGCAGTTCAGCCTCATAAAATATTAAAAGCAACGCATAATCTGAACGGAGATGAAGGGTTGCTGTGGAAGGCACCTGACCAGACAGAGGAGGGGTAAGTGGCTGCTCCCTGGCTGGCTGGGCGGTGGCACAGGGGTGGGGGTGGCGGAATGGAGGGGACGGCTGCAGGTCAGGGGCTCAGCATCTGGCCTGAAATGCCAAACAGGGCCAAGAGGAATCAGCCACCAAATGCCAGGAGGAGGCTGTTTTGGGGGAGGGGATTGGCAGGATTGTAAGGGATAGCAAAGAAAGTGTAATGGGGAGAAGAGAGAGAGAGCGAGAGCGAGCAAGCCCAGGGCAGAGCAGCAGAGGGAACGGGGGAGCTGAAGTCCTGGCAAACCCACTCAGTAAGATGACAGCCACTGCTGGCAGCATGACCTCCTGCAGATTTGAGCTGTTTCTAGGAGCCCGGCAAGAAAGATTTAAACACGAGGTCCAACCTCTTGGCTGCGGCCAGTGAGATGCTAGAAGGGACCGCAGCAGGACACAAGCTGATTTGTAGCTTGGGCTGAGTGACCTCTCAGGACATCTGAGGGGGAAGGAGGTGAGGAGTTGACAGTGTGGACCCAGCACCTGGCAGGGAGGCTCCAGGGGCTCAGCTTACAGGGGAGCGGCCCAGCCCCAGGAGGAGCAGGACCAACCTCCCACCCAGGCGAGGGCTGCAGGGCACTTGAGCGTGCGGGTAACAATTCTGAGGGTGGATGCATGAAACAGGGAAGACTAACGTTTTTGCTAAAGCCTCAGGGACTCACCAAGGCCTCTGGCTATAAAAGATAGCAGGGGTATCACGGGATCAGTTGCCAAGGGGGCCTGGGCAGGCAGAAGTCTGTCGGAGGCACCTGCTCTGCAGGGGTAGCTTGCTCAGGAGGCGTCTAGTTTGTCCTACAGTGGCTGCTCCATGGGATCCTAAGTGGGCTTCTGCAAGGCTGAGCCTGCAGCTCTCCAGGGCAGGTGCCACATGGAGGCTTCCTCCCCCTGCTCCTCTTCCTCACCCTCTCTCTAGATCCTGACCCCATGCCCCTCCCTACCAAGCTGCCTCTGTCCCCTAGGAAGCTGCTGGGGCCTAGAGGGGCTAGGGACATTCCCACTGTCTCCAGGATACGTCTGAAGGGGAGGGGTAGCTGCATTCCAGTAAGGGTGAAGAGAGCCCAGCAGCATACAGAATCCCTAAGTTCCGAGTTTGTCTCCTCCAGGGAAGGAAGGGGTGACCTGGCAGAGCCGGAAGGGCTGTGACTCTGACACTTGTCCTCTGCCACTATTTTTTCCTATGGAACTGAAACCAGAGATGATAGCCCCAACAGTCGGGGGTCAGAGACTCCAGTTCCAGGTTGCACCTGCACCGGAATTTCAAATGAGGAAGAAAGCCAAGCAAAATCTCTGCTCAGAGAACTTAGCAGACAGAAGCTCTCAAACCTTATCTTAGCAATGAAGCATACTAAGGCCTCCCCAACCCCAAGACATTCTTCCCCAGTGTGTAGATGGATCACCATGGGGCGGCTTCTATGAGGATAGACATTCGGACTTCAGCCCTCCCTGTACCGCCACCTCCAGGAGGCCACCAGGGCCCCCACCATGGATTCTGAGACTCAGGGAGTTTAGCTTGAGAATCCTGCTGTCACACCGCTTCTCTGCGGCCCCTTCATCCAGACAAACCAGAAGAAAATGCTCACCCACGGCCCACTCCTCTTATCTGTACAGGTGCTGCTGCTGCTGTTGGTAACACCAACCCAGGTTTGATGGGCTCTTCCAGTCCTTAGGAGCCAAGGCTGTCTCCAGCCCAGGCACAGGCCCTGCCCCACAGGTGTCCCCCCAACCCTGCCCAGCACTCACCTCCTTCTCCCCACAGATGTTGCTGATGATGGAACTGGAGGCTGGGCTGGACGATGGTCCCAGGACAGCGACCACCCCCTTGGGGAGGATCTGACACACTGCAGCCATGGCAGGGGCAGGAAACAAAACAAGGGACTCATCAGGTGGGGCCTGAGCAGCAGCCTTGAGCCCTCCACTCCTCCCTGGCTGCCCCTCACCTTCTGCCCAACCGTTCCCCAGCCCCTCGCCGACCCTCCAAACCCACTGTCCCTCCTTCTCCCCCTGGACTGCTGGGCTCCAAGACAGTTTTATTGGAGTTTATGGAGAGTAGTAAATGAGGAAATGACCCAGGTTATGACAACATATGGCCATGGGCAGCAGGGTGTATAAATCGTCCGGCTGTCACCAAGGACAGAGGCTGACAGAGGCAACCTGCGGGTTCCAGCTCCTGGCCCGGCCTGCAGTGCCGGGCAGAAGGCCCAGCACACAGAACGGCCGCCCAGCCTACAATCCTTTAGTACAACCCAAACGTCACAGGAGTCTGGGAGGAGGGAAGGCAGATAGGCAGAGGGACGGAGTACGACACAGAGAGGAAGAAGGCGGATTCAGCCGCAGCCCAAGTCTGTAGGAGAGAGGCAGGTAGCGCAGTGCAGTGGTCAAGTTGCCTGCACCCATATCGGACAGCCTGGGTTTGATGCCCGGCTCAGCCTCCTGCTAATGCACACCCTGGGAGGTAGCAGCGATGGCGCAAGTGCTTGGGTCCCTGCCAGCCACGTGGGAGACTTGGATTGAATTCCTGGCTCCTGGCCAGGTTCAGGCTTGGCTGTTGCAGGCATTTAGGGAGCAAACCAGTGCATGGAAGAGCTCTCTCTGTCATGTCTGCCTTTCAAATAAAAATGAAAAAAAGAAAACTTTAAAAATAATAATCAAGATTTTTAAAAGTGGGAGCAGATGAGAGAGAAAAGGAAATAGAAAATGGGAGGGGGGCGGCAGAGGGGACTCGTAGGTCACTGCCTCACCTGCCTGGACCCTGGTACACTCCTTTGCTGTGTCAGGTACTGACCTGCCCAGCCAGCATGCTGTGAGCACGCACTTCCTCCGCCTGGAACGTACCCCACCCCTCACGGCACTGGACACTCACTCGCTACCCTTGTAAATGTGCCTGGCTTCTTTTAGGTGGAATTAGCCCTGCCTGGGACTCCCAAGGCCCCTGGTTTAGACCCCTGTGTCTGTATCAGCTTCAGCCTGTTGTCTAGAGTTCTCCTCTCACTCGACCTCAAACCTCTTAGGGCAGGATCTGAGCCGCCTGCATCTCTAACCCCCACTGAGGAGCCATCCAGCTCCTGCGTGGATGAATGAGCCCCGCGGTCAGAGAAGAGGATGGATGAGTTAAATGAGTTAAGTGCTCCGTGTTGAGCAGAGAAAGCAGAGAAGGGCAGGAGGTAACGGGGGACCCCCAGGGAGAGAGAGCATTAGATAATTCCCATCATGCACACTGTGATGTCAGAAGCAGGAGCCACCCCCCAGAACAGGCAGGAGCTGTAAGATACCACATTCCTCTTGCAAAACCCAAAGCTTCCATCCACATTCAGTGAGTCCTGACTCCCATTAGGCCGGGACACAGAGATAAGGGATGGACGCACGGTTTCTTGGTGAGTCTGCCACTCTCTCCAGAGCAGAGTCTACCCATTGGCCAGCACAGCGGAGCGATGGCCTGCAGGGGCACAGCCAGTGAGGGAAGAACCTCAGCGTCTGCACCCAGAATTGGAATTCACCATAGGAGCTATGGCTCCGTGAGCTTGGGCAGGGATCCCACACCATCCCGAGTCACAGCTGACTGGGGGGGCATGGGCAGAGGTTTCCCTGAGGGGATGCATCATCCTGAGAGTCAGAACCATCCCTGGTGGCAGAAGTAGTAATGACCGGGGCACTTGACCTCTGTAGAGCCTCTTGGAAGTTCCAGCCACTTCCACAGGAGTGAGCCCACTGACTCTTCCTGCCGGCGAGAGGCCATAAGTCCATCATCCTACCAATTCCCTACAGCGGCCTGGAGGAGACGGGGAGGGGTCTGGTCTCCTGATTTGACCACTAAGGACCCAGCATCCTCGAGATGTCCAGTGACTCACCTCGGGTCGCAGCATTTGGAGTCACGGCTCCTGACCCCATCAGCGTGCACTCTGCTCCCTCACATCCACTATGTGCCTGCACAACTCCCTATAGCCACTCCTCCACCCAACTCCTCTCAACCTCTTACCTTGAGGCCCCGCCAGCCCGCCTCAAGGCACTGCATCTGCTTCCTCATGGGTCACCGTGACCTGTCAGCAGTCACTTTGCTGCAGCACTTGAAGCTGGCCTTGCTCTTTTGGATTTCCCAGCACCATCCAATCCTGGCTCTCGCGCACCTCTCCCCACCAGTCTTTCTCTCTTCCTTTTGTTCAATCTTCTTCCTTGTTCCAGTCACTAAACCCTGGTTTCACTCAGGCCTTACTCACTCTTGCCTCGACTCTCCCCAGGCAATCCGACACTTTGGCCTGTGTCCTGCTGGAGCTCACCGTAGGGCCTCCCCTCTGGCATCCGGAGCCAACATGGCTGAGAAAAGCAGTCATGCGGAGCACGGGCTCTGCAGCTAGACTGTCAGGGTTCGAGTCCCAGCTCCTGGAGATTCTGTCCCCTCTCCTAGCTGCGAGACCCTGAGCGAGTGATGGAACTGCTTTGGCCTCGTTAGCTTACCCGTAACACCGGGATACTAACAGGACCTCTCTTGTAGGTGTGGTGAGAATTCCAGTGACTGAAGACACACCAAGTGCTTATACCAGCACCTGACATGCTACACAACCCTTCTTATTTCCCATCACATTGCATTCGCTGTACACGGGGTGGGGGGTGGGGTGGCAGGCTTCAGAAAATTCGTGGAAAATGGAATAAAGATGTTTATGTTAGTGCCCAAAATGTTGAAACCCATGCCTATAAGGAGTCCTCAGAAAGTTCATGGACATGTGCATTATTAAAAACTAGGCATAGAGTGGCTGGTGTTGTGATGTAGTGGGTAAAATTGACGCCTGCAGTGCTGGCATCTCATATAGGTGCTGGTTCGAATCCTGGCTGCTCCACTTCTGATCCAGCTCTCTGCTATGGTCTGGGAAAGTCCTTGGGCCCCTGCACACACATGGGAGACCCGGAAGAAGTTCCTGGCTCCTGGCTTTGGATTGGTCCAGCTCCAGCCATTGCAGCCGTTTAGGGAGTGAACCAGCAGATAAAAGACCTCTCTCTGTCTCTGCCTCAGCTTCTCTGTGACTCTGTCTTTCAAATAAATAAATAAATCTTAAAAAAGGGATGAATTTAAAAAACATTTTGTACCAGAATAAAGTTAACATTTAACCCCATTTTTCCACAAACTTTTTGAAGGACACCCATATATTTCACTGTCTGATTTGATCTCCACACTTGTATAAAGAAGATTAATTTGTATCTCTCTTTTACAGACAGGGAAATTGAAGGTAAGGAAATTTAAAGGGCCAGGATTGTGGCATTTCAGATAAAGCCACCACTAGTAATACTGGCATCCCATGTAGGCTCCACTTTTGATTCAGTTCTCTGCTAATGGCCTGGGAAAAGCAGCACAAGACAGCCCAAGTGCTTGGGTCCCTGCCACCCACATAGGAGACCTGGAAGAAGCTGCTGGCTTCAAGCTTCAGCCTGGCCCAGTGCTGGCTGTTTGGCCATCTAGGGAGTAAACAAGCAGATGGAAGACCCTCTCTCTCTCTCTCTCTCTCTCTCTCTCTCTCTGTAACTCTGAGTTTCAAATAAATAAATCTTAAGAAAAAAAAAGTAAAGACAAGACAATTGAAGTACCTGGTTCAAGATCTACCTGTATGCTAGAACTCAGCTTGCACTTGGAGACCCAGGCAGCACCAAGATTGAAGCTCTCTCTGTCCTCTCCTACTCCTTGTGGCTCCTCGAGCTCAAAGCTCTAGGCACTCTTGGCTCCTCTTTGCCTCCTCCACTAACTCTGATTACCTCCCACACCAGATTCTACCCATGTGACCTGCTCACTCCCTGCTGCCAATCCTCCCACCCCCACCCTGACGCCGAACTCCCACTGCTGCTGTTCTGAGTCAGCCCCTGTTTATGATCTGCCCTCTAAGGTATCTCTCTGGCTCCAGGGTTTTCCACTTCTAATCCACTCTCCCAGTGACAGCCCTAAAACACAGCTTGCTCTTCCAAAGCAGCGAGCTTGTCTTGCAGACCTGTGCATCGTCAATACCTGGCACACAGGCCGACTCAGAAGCCCACACCCAATAAATAGTCACCGGAGCCCGCTCAGCATCTTCCACGGAGACCTGGAAATCAACTGAATGTCTCATCAGGAGGGGATGGTTACATAAAGTGTTGGTCATATGCTCAAATGGAATATTATTTAGGCGTTTAAAATGCTCGTGAACAGTTTATAATAGTACTAAAGATATTTATGTAATAGTATTAAGAGAAAGAAGCAGGATATAAAATTATATGCATATGAAAGCTACAACTAAGTGAATACAAGGACTAGTTATGCATTGAGGGATGGCTTCAAGAAGATGTTATTAAAGCCAACATTTATTGAGTGCTAATTAAGGCCCACTGGAAGCATTTACAGGAATTGACTTATTTAATTCTAAAAATCACCTGACAAAATAGGAACTATTACTGTCATCCTCATTTTACAGATACACAAACAAGAGAGGAAAATAAAACAGCAGAGTGAAGATTCAACTGCTCAACCCTTGACTCTAGGGACCAGTCCCTACCCACAGCCTCCCACAGGGATGGCAATTAGCTGAGATGTTCGCAGAGACTGCTTCGGCCATCGAACACTGAGTGATCCTCTTCCCTTTCTCCTTTCTCTATTTCCTATAATGAGTGTGTATTCCTTTTACAACATATTATTGAAAAATACAACACCATAATAGAGAAATGTGTTCTGATGAGCTAGTGAAAGCCGGGAGGATCTGACCTCTCCCGGGTCCTGCTCCCCCCTCCACACTCCCACCGAGTCCTGCCGGCTCACCTGGATCGCAGTCTGTTTTCCTACCTGCGCCTGTTCCCCAGCGGTTCTCTCTGACTAGATACTTAACCTGCT